TTATTTTCTTAATATTTTTATAAATATTATATAATTATATTAATTTAAAAATAAAACTTAACCCTCCCTTTTTTTTCGAGGCGAGTACAGAGCATACTTGCTTCAAATATAAGCTACCGAGATCATAATACTATCATAGTATCAAGAGTTTTCGAGAGAGAGAAAGAGAAGTGATTTAGAAATCCATGAACTACAGATAATCGAGGATTCCTCATAACATGGCGATAAAATAATTGGGAGAAGAGACAATTTTGGCGTTTTAAATGAAAACTTTAATTATCAATTCCTTAGGTATTACATATCATGGAAAAATACTAGAGATATCTCTGTTTGATTTCAGTACATCTTAAAATATTTTTTTTAATTGTTATGAGAATTAAACTCGGCATTAATGAACTTATATATTCTATAATTCAGTAATTTTTTAAAGCAAAAAGCACAGTAACATAACTTATTTTCTTAATATTTTTATAAATATTATATAATTATATTAATTTAAAAATAAAACTTAACCCTCCCTTTTTTTTCGAGGCGAGTACAGAGCATACTTGCTTCAAATATAAGCTACCGAGATCATAATACTATCATAGTATCAAGAGTTTTCGAGAGAGAGAAAGAGAAGTGATTTAGAAATCCATGAGTAAAGAAACACAAGAGTTTTTATTTCCAAACTTGCTTGTTACAAACTGAGAGAGTATCCCCTTATATAGACTCGGAAGATCTCTTTTTATGATAAGTGGCCGACATCTTTTGCACTAGTGCCAATCCTATTAGCTAATTAAAAGATAAGCATGAAAAGGGACCCTAATGGGTCTGATTCATACAAATTGACGAACTAGTCTGACTAAGATGATAAGAACGAATAAAGAGAGGGACCCACATAGGTCTGACTCACACTAAAATACACACTCTATTATACAAATGGTGGCAGACAGTCTATAAAGCAGATTCCCATCATTAATCTCCTTTAATGATAGGCTCGTGATTAGGAGAGAGATTTGGATATGATACATGTGAGTCTGAACAATTATTCATCATTGATTCCTACATGGTAAAACTTATAGTTTCACCCGCGTTTAGTGACTCTAGTGTGCTTCGTATCCTGTTGTCATATCATCTTTTAAAAAATGAATTAGGTTAACTTAATTACAATCACAATAATTTGTGTGGTATATGATTAACAACTGTAATGTAATTTGTTCAGGATCTTTCTTCCAAATTAAAAATGCTTTTTTTAATTTGGATTTAAAAAATAGTTTGCATATTCGGCAATAATTATTGGTCTAGCAGTCTCAATTATTGGGTGCATTGCTAATTTGGTTAATTATAATATAAAAGTGGAACCGAAAACGAAAAGTATAATAATAATAACATTTGAATTATTTTAATGCCTTGAACCAAAGATATATAGTATAGGATATGTGGTGTCGTCACAAGATGGACCCATCAACATCATTCCCGTCAATTATGTTTACAGGTGTTCGTTTTTAATAGGTGATGGGTCTTTGTCTAACATTTTTTATTATCTTTTTTCAATGGTAGCCTTAATTTGTTCAACTATGTATTTCTTTATATTTTTCCATGAGCATATCAAAAAAGCAATATAATTCCCTAAGATTATCGTTCTCAATTATGTCTGCATTAATATACTAATTAACTGCATCAAATCATAATTGGCTCCTTAGAAGAAAATTAATAGATATTAGTTATTGGAGTAAATTATATTGTATTTCATGAGATTGCATGAACTTTTTTAATTAATGCTTAAGCTAGCAACTTATTTAGTAGGACATAATACAATGTTTTTAAACAATTAAAGAGACTTGGTATAAAATATAAAGTGTCAGTGTAATGTTATTTAAAAAATTAAGAAAGTTATTATAAAGATAGGGAAAAGAAAAAGGATATAGAGATAAACTTGACAAAATTTTAAATAATGTTAATGTAATTGTTAAGCACTCGAAATTATGGGACTCGAAAAGGGTTTGACTAAGGGCATTGCCTCAAGACTACCATACATGGAAGACTTATAACTAGTCCTAAAGGGGGGTACTCGAGATAAGGTCGAATTGAGATTTGAGAGCATTCAAGATGGAAACAAGACTTCACATGGAAACATTCAAGATAGGGTCGAACATAACGCACTTCGGAAAAGTCGAACAAGGAAATGGCTAAGCCAGAAGCGGTTATCAAAATCAAAGGAGAGAATAAGAACACGTGGGAAAAGCGGTTTAAAGAAGTTATTATTCTGAACCACGTAGCAAATGTAGTGGGTAGCAGTTATGGGTTAAGAGCATACGTGTACAGAATTAACCACTCATTATGTCTCTATAAATAGAAAGATCACGGACCTCTTCAGGGTCGGAAAAACTCATACTTGAATTAACTTCTGAAGCACTCTCTGCCTACACACACATATGGCTTTCGTGCACAAGATCGTTTTTGGGTATGACTGACTCTCGGTCACTTTTCTTTTGCTTTTTAGGAGTAGAATTAGCATAGTTCTCTTAGTTATTTCTTTTAATCACGTAGTTATATTACTTTGATATTGTAACTCTGGAACATTATGCAAGTTGAACCATGATTTGTATTGCAAGTATCTTAATTATTCATTCTGTTCATCTTAGCATTTATATGTATGAAAATTATTGCTTGTTAATTATGGAAGAATCTTTAGAAACAAGTAATTACTAAAGTTGTTCACTCCTTTTCCTGTTCTTAAATCAAAAATCCTAAATTGAAACCATTTACGTGCTAGTTCGAGTAAAAAGAACCCTTAAACGT